GATTCTATTCTCGTCTGAAAGTGGTTTGAATTCATTTCCTTCACTTAGATTCACAGCTCTCCGAGCGAGTGGGACGGTAGAAATTCTAGCAGAGCGATTATGGTGGAAAGCCAAGGTGAGACTTGGAGCGAATGGAGGGAGGGAGGGAGAGGAGAGGAGAGGAGAGGAGAGGAGAGGAGAGGAGAGGAGAGGAGAGGAGAGGAGAGGAGAGGAGAGAGTGGTGGAGAGGATGTGCGAGTAGAGGAGGGGATGGGGAGGGGAGGGGAGTATTCAGAACCCTCTAGTTGACATGAGGGCAGATGAATGATTTTGCCAACGAGGCGAGGAAGAAAATCTCGAGTATCAGGACGAGGAGGCCAAACTGTGCGTACAGCTCGGTACAGCCGATCAACGTGGACGAGGAGAGGGAGAAGTTCCTCAAGAAAGCCAAGGAGTACGAGTGCGGGAGCAGGAAACGGCGGCCGGAGGATCCGATCTTCGAGTACGCGGACTCTGCCGAGTGCGAGATGGCTTGCCCTGCAGTCCCTTGCTCTTGCTCGAGAGCGAAGATGTGGGAGGAGTTTGGGCCGGCAGATGACCGGTACATCGAGCAAGCTCTCAAGATCCTCAACCTGTACAAGGTGGTAGAGATGTTGATGGGGAATGCAACAGCTGACAACCTTTGGAGGCGAACGCGGCAGAGAACTCTTCGTTGAGATCCAGCCAAGATGACGTTGCTGTGGCTGATGAGCACCGGGAAGACGATCGGGAGGGAGAAACGAAGGTGTCATATGACATGTGTTGGATGTGCTTGCTTCTTCTTGCTCGAAACTTGGTTTTGTCTTCGTTGTGTTCTTGATGTACTTTTCGCAATGTGATCAAGACTTGTTTCTTCCCAGGACGCCTCTACTTTGGATCAGATTGATGTGGTTGCGGATGCGCAAAGGTCTTTCTTGCAGCATATTGGACGTTTGCAACGATTTCTTGATATCTGAAAGGAAATCTCCAGATTGTCTCCGACTTCAGATCCATCGGGTCGATGTTCAGACGTCCACAAGATTGTGAGATCGGGAATCGAGTCTCTCAAACTTGACGAGATGAATGCAGGAGGAGTGGGTTAGGAAGTACCTTGAAGAGATTGGTGTCGAGAAATCGTAATGCATATATCGCCATTGTCCTTGTGATGACCGTGAAGATGAGTTTTCTCTCCTCCTTCATACTTGGTTGCTCAATGTGTCCTCTTCATTATCACTCTTGTCGTTCGATTTATTCTTATCCTTCATCATCTTGTTTATTGTTTTATTTCTGCTCATCTTTCTGTAGCGTCGAGATTGTCTGGATGGACAAGAGTAAATGCCGATCAGCTTCGATGATCTCCACCATCGTGAATGGCGAAGTGAAGGGGAAATTGCACCTGGTCAAAGGTAAAGACATTTATTCATTCACAGAGTACAGCGAGAGAAACAGAGACAGAACAGAGACAGAGACGGGAGGGAGGGAGAAAGGGAGGGAGAGATAGTCTTCACAACTAGAATCAATTCAGACACGATCCGATGCTTCTTCAACTTCATTTTCACCAGTGATGTCCCAGGAAACCAGTGGACTCGATTGAGATTTCAGAGTTTGATGGATCACGAGATTGGTGCGCTGAGAAGGCAGGGAGCGTGTAGCGTGTGAGACCGCTGCAGGAACGCACTTCGTACGCGCGCACAACAACCAGAAGATTGTGAACATGATGGGTGAGAGGGGTGAAAGGGGTATGATGTCGCTCATGTGGATACTTCAAGGAAAATGGACAAGAGAAGCGAAAAGTCCGATCGTTGATCTGATAACGGAAGAGGTATGATGATGATGATGATGATGGACATGATGATGATGATGATGATTATGATGATTATGATGATGATGATGATGATGATGATGGGTATGATGATGATGGGGATGATGATGATGGGGATGATGGGGATGATGATGGGCATGATGGGGATGGGGATGGTGGTGGTGGTGATGATGATGATGATAATGATGGTTGATGCCGTTATGAAGACTCTAATTTTCTTCGGCAGGGTCTTGCGAGCTTGAACACATTGTTGAAGAGCAGTAAGTCACAGAAAATGAATTCAAAGAGGCAGGGACGAGCAAAGCAGGGGTAGTGGATGAAGAAAGGATGAGGGGGAGAGATGAATGTTGATGTTGATGTTGACGATGACGGTGGTTATGATAATGGTAGATACGATGCTACTTCTGGTGACGATCAGCAACAGGAAACAAGCTCATGTGGTCGCCCGCTCTATCCTACTACTCTCAGTGTAGAGCGAGAGAGCTTGGCTTCACAGGTATCTGTCGATGCTGCTCCTTTCTCTTCAAGGCTCAGATCTATTGTCAGATTTGTTTCTTGAGCTCAAGCAGTACGTTTCGTCCCCTGAAGCAAGATGGTCGTACTGTCTTCGTTGCAAGGTCGCACATTTACAGCTACACTCCCTCCTCCTCCTCCTCCTGCCTCCCCGCTCGTCATCCGCTCCCTCCTCCGCTTCCTACCTCTGGTCCCCCTAGACTCGCTTCCCTCCCCATCCTCCTCCTCCTCTCCGTTGTCGAACTCTCTATCTTCCTCCTTGTCCTTCTCTCAGACTTTGCTTCAGCGAGGACTGAGGAATTCAGCGCTTCCTGGGTCACTTGGCAAGGTAAGGCAGCAACAACCGAAGTCTTTGCGAAGATGACTTGGTGCCTGACAGGACCGAGCTTACTTGGAAGGAGCTATCAAGATTCTACAAAGATTGAACGATCTCGATTTTGTCCTGTTACATTCTATGAAGGTAAGACATCATCATTGCTGTTTCATCTTTCTTCAAGGCTCTCCCTGTCCTTCTCTTTTAACCATCAACTCGCCTCTTCTTCCTCTTCGTCTCCTCATCTTGTTGTGTTGTTCAGGTCTCTTTGGAAGATTACAATGATGCAAAGATTGTGTTGCTGCGGAACTCGTCCCTTACCCGGCAACTTCACATCCCATCGTTCCTCAGCAACATCGCCGACTACAAGTGAGAGTCGTTGGGTGTGGAGATCGTTCAGTCCTCACGTCTCAACGCAGAGAAAGCTTGAAGGAGATTGCCAGAGTGAATCTCATCGACGTCAAGGAGAAGAAGAGAGCAAGGAGGTGTTGTTGTTGTTCCATGTTGTTCCACTCTCCTCCCCTCACATAAAGTTTCTTCTCACTGACTTCTGTCGGTGCGATGAGAAGATCTTTTGAGATGAGGCGATCGGTATCGTCATTGCCCGGCACTTCCGAGGGATCGGCAGCAACAAGAGCGAGTCCTTTCCAACAGGAGCTGATGGAGAAAAATCTCGACAAGATCTCGTCGCTAGCACGAAAGCACGCCGACCTTCTGTTGAGCTCAGCGAAGCAGAATCGGAAGAAGACGCGGCAAGCTGTGATTGCGAGGTGTGTTGGAAGCTGTAAGATGACGTGTACCTGACGAGCACTTGGAGGCTACATGACCAGTCAGCCAAGAGAGAAGAGAACAGGAACGCGATCTTAGATGAATGTTTCAAGCAGAGGTGAGATGTTGTTGTTGGTTGTGGTGTTGATATTGAGCAAATGTGGGAAGGTCAAGGTGGGGAGGGTTGGTATTCTCATGGGACAGGCAGAAGTCGAACAAACTTGTAAATGCCAAGAACACATGAAGTAAATTTACATGATCGATAAATATCAATGAAATGTTTAAAGTATGCAAAAGACATGAAAATAAAGTCATAAGAGTTGTCAGTAAGGTCTGGAACATGTAACATAAACTTGCTGTTTGCCGTTGATTTCTCTTCTCTCAATCATTACATCCCCGCTCTTTCATCGGCAACAAAACAAAACAGCTCCCCTATCTGATCAGAAACACAAGTGATCTTATCTCCCACCTTTTCATTGAAAGTGAGAAGAGAAAGATCGAACATCGATCAAAACTCACATGTACTTGTACAGGTTCATCGTCGACGCCATCAGTGCGCGCAAAACTCCCTGTGAACAAGGTAAGAAACAGATGCTACTTATTGAGAGATGAGGTTGCCGATCAGGACAAGGTCCCCCGGATCAAGAACAATGAATCTACTGATCTGGAATGAAGTTCAGAGACGGAAGGCGCAGAGAGAAAAAGAGAGGAGAGAGGAGAGAGGAGAGAGGAGAGAGGAGAGAGGAGAGAGGAGATGAATCAGAAAGCAGTGTTAGTGGGCAGATTTTCACATATGATATCAAGTAAGACGGTGAAAACTTCAAACTCGCCACCATCCCCTCCTGGCAAACTTGTTCAGCTGCCTATCATTGCTCCTTGACATGTTCAAGACCTCAATCAGTCTCTCATTCACAAAGGTTTTCAGGTTGACGTTCTCAATGTCACCGATGGATTCCTGGCAAGACATGAAGAACACGTCAGCAAGAGAGTAAGAAGGGACAGGCAACGAAGTCATCACAAGACATGACCAAGATTGCAAGATAAATCAAGATGACCTGTTTCGGCACGACCACCGCACACGACTTATCTCTCACTTACCAGGTCTATCATCCATGGACCTGTGACAACTGGGCAATCATAAGACTTGCTGTTCAACCACCTATGGGTTTTTGGTGTGAGAGTTTCAAGTACATTTGAGGAGAGGAGAGGAGTGGAGTGGAGAGGAGAGGAGAGGAGAGGAGAGGAGAGGAGAGGAGAGGAGAGGAGAGGAGAGGAGAGGAGAGGAGAGGAGAGGAGAGGAGAGGAGAGGAGAGGAGAGGAGAGGAGAGGAGAGGAGAGGAGAGGAAGGAGAGCGAAGTGAGATAGTTACTTTGACTCATTCGTCAACCAATCTTTGGGAGCGAAATCCTGAGACAGCGGGTGAACGAGGAGGGAATATCATCAACATCAGTATCAGTCACTTGAACGATTGTAATCGCCGTCACACTCTCCATGGCCCGATCTTCAGCCACCCTTACATCTCATCAGCCAGGTATGAGGACGTTGCTGCGATCGTTTGCAAACCTTCTACACGTACTCCCAATCACCAATCCGATCTGACCGTTTGCGTAAAACTGCCACGAGATTAGACGCGAGTTTGGATATGAGATGAGGAGTTGAAGATGAGAGGAGGAGTTGAAGATGAACAGAGATGGCAGTGTCTGACTTTGTCTTCCTCGTTCATCGGTGGGTAACTCGCCCCTCCTAACGTCATGCTGATGTACTTGGTGAAGAACATTACTTGGGTCGACTTCCATCCGTCGTCATCTTCATCTGCTCCGCGAACTTGCAATGAAAATCCGTGAGACTCCAAAGATCAAGGAAGAGGAGGTGGTGGTGGTGGTGGAGGAGGAGGAGGTGGAGGAGGAGGTGGTGGTGGTGGAGGAGGAGGAGGATGGAGGAGGATGGAGGAGGAGGATGACAAGAACAACAGCAGCAACTACAACAGAAGCAACTACAACACCAGAGTCCGGTCGAGATGCTGATGAACTGTCGTTTCCCTCTTCTCCGCTCTCCTCCGATTCAGAATCTCTGTCTCTCTCCTCACTCCTCTCCAACTGCAATGAAGGATGAGCATCTCCTTTGCTCATGAAACCACACCTTCACCCCATATCAGAAGATGTTGGCGATTGTGAAACAAGATTTACCAACATGCTGTTGTCCAACTTTCTCATCGTCAGCTCCCTGCCCAACCATCTCAACAACATGCTACTCCAACCACACAGCAGGAGACACCTTGTCTCCACCAACGATCACATTCTCCACCACTATCACCTTGCCCGGATTCGTCACAGGAGCCAGAAGCTACCCATTCAATCGCGTCATGTCTTCTACCTGTCCCAGCTTCGACTTACCCGAACTTGAGAGAGCGGGATCAGGTTTGCTCGCTCTGACATGGCCTCGTCTGCACGTCTGAGAGCGTCGGCACCTCGTTGCAGGAAGGCGATGGAGTCCAGCGGCTGCCATTGTCGCGGCACTGAGAGGCGTCCATATGAGCTCCATGCACTTGAGGAGGAGAGGAGAGGAGAGGAGAGGAGAGGAGAGGAGAGGAGAGGAGAGGAGAGGAGAGGAGAGGAGAGGAGAGGAGAGGAGAGGAGAGGAGAGGAGAGGAGAGGAGAGGAGAGGAGAGGAGAGGAGAGGAGAGGAGAGGAGAGGAGAGAGAGAGAGGAGATCCTGAACACAGCATCAAATGTATCGAACCGATCCTGCCCAACATTTGGTACAAATCATTCTTTCACGCTCTCAGATGGAATTGTCAGGTTGTACTTGAACGGGATATCTGTAGGAGTTCTTCTCTTTCTTCGACCAGGTTCGGTTCACTTATTATGCGCTCAGGGGTGGCGGAGGGGAGGCCTGGAGGAAGCAAATCCTTTGGGCTTTGAA